TTTTTCTTAACCGGCAGAGAAAAAAATCCTTTCTTTCTGCAAGCCTGGACACCATAACGAACCAAATAGCGAAAAAAGTAGAACAATAGCTCTTAAGATAAAGAACCAGTAGCGACCGGACGGACGGACAGACGGGCGGGCGGATGTACAGGCGGATGGACGGATGTACAGACGGACGGGCGGACAGACGGATGTATAGACTGATGGACAACAAGTAAACTGTCTTGAAGTGTGTTTCACTAATAATGGCCAGTATTTTAAACAACTGATGTAATTATTTTCATTGTTTTGTTTTGTTTTTTTTAATTCATCACAGACTACTTGATTAAAATAAAAAACCGTTGATATAACTGGTATCTTATTTTCAATCTTATGCTATGATAGCCCGTTGAAAAGAGAATTAGGTAAAAAATCTATCAAGTAATCTAAAAATCCAATATGGCGCCTATTTCAGTTTAGCAAGTTGATTAATGTTCCTCAAAAGTAGCGATCTTGAATTTTTTTACATCAATTCTAAGTTAAACGTACCAAAGACAGCAACTTTTATATAACACTTTTTTAATATCTCTTATACTTTCGATGATATGACGTTCAAGGAAATGGCCCATTTTAATTTTTTTGAATTTACGTCGAAACTATTCAACATTTTGAATTTTAAATAAGCATCTAAATCTGCAAAACATTGTGCATTTAATCAATTCTTTATCTTTAATAATAAGAAAGTTACCCAGTAAATCGTTTACTTATTTATAATCTACTTCTACAAATACTGCTTCTGTCACAGTCACGTTTCTTACATATTTTAATGCATCAACTCTAAAAATTGTTCAAAATGGAAAAAGTAATAAACCGAAAATGGCACACAACAATTAACGGCGACACTGGTTTCTAAAATGACAGTCATGACAGAACAAAATTACTAACGAAATTCAAACCGTCAATTTAATAATGCAAAAAACACTAAAACCTTACGCGCGAAATTCAAGCGATCATCACTTCTAATGAATCACCCGGTATCTGTGCTAGTAGGGACTTATCTGATAACCTTAGTATCAAGTTTAAGTTATGTTTCACGATAAGTCGCGTTATTTAGTCGCAATGAAAGCCACACTACACGTGCTACTACTACAAATAACATTTATTACTTTTGCCCAGAGTGCCAAAATTCTTGGAATTTTTAATGGATACTCAGGTAGCCATCAACATCTTGGGAACAAGGTTTTACTTGAACTGGCGGCGAGAAGTCACCAAGTTACCGCAATTGTGCAGAGAAAATTTGCCCCAAAGACGGCTAATGAAAGTTACCAACCCATAATGATTGAATATGATTCTAATTTGATGAGTAAGTGCGTAACCACAAACGATCCTTTATTTAATTGTTCACTGTAGACCTATCATCGACTAATTTGTATAAAAGTGCAAAAAGGGGATTATTAGATACAATATCTAGCACAGCTGGCACTGGACTAGTTTGGACAGAAATGTTCTTCAATCAAACTAGTGTTCAAAATTTGCTGAAGTCGAATCAAGAATTTGACATGGTTATCCTAGAGGAATTCCTAAATGATGCATTCAAAGGCTTTTGTAACTTTTATAAAGCACATTGTGTTTCGGTGAGTGTCGTTGGGCCATCGAGATTTACAAATTTACAAATGGGCAATCCACTTAATCCCTCTTATATGCCTGAAATACTTTCAAGATATTCGAGTGAAATGAGCTTTTTCCAACGGGTTGTTAACACCTTTTCGATTGTTTTCGGAGTTATCAACTTTTACTGGTCGATTTTGCCGAAGCACAATGAAATTTTGCAAAAAAACTTTCCAGGATCGCCTCCCATAACCGAATTATATTACAGAACTTCATTAATGCTCCTAAATTCGCACGTGAGCGTCTCCTCGCCAGTACCTACCTCTTGTACCCAACATGATCGAGATTGGAGGTTTCCATCTTAATACACCAAAGGAGCTACCCCGAGACTTGCAAAATTACCTAGACGAAGCCGAGAACGGCGTCATTTACTTCAGCATGGGAAGCAATTTGCGTGGCAACGATATGGAGGAAAGCAAACGAAACGCTATCATAAAAGTATTTTCCCAACTAAAACAGAGAGTGTTGTGGAAATGGGATAATGACACGCTTCCTCGACAACCTGATAACGTTAAACTCGGCAAATGGTTCCCGCAGCAAGATATTTTGGCGCATCCTAACATTAAACTTTTTGTAACACACGGCGGCCTGTTGAGTGTAATTGAAGCGATTTATCATGGCGTACCAGTCGTGGGCATTCCTGTTTTTGGAGATCAAGAGATGAATATGGCAGTTGCTGAAGCAGATGGGTACGGAAAACTACTGCGATTTAGTGATTTAACCGAGGAAACCTTTCGAACGGCTCTCACTGAGGTTTTAAACAACGACAGGTACGTTTTATATTACTGAGAATTTGGTAAAGTTCCGTTTTTAGGTACAGGGAGAATGCAATTCGGAGGTCGAGAATAATGCACGACCAACCGATGAAGCCGTTGGATAAGGCAATGTATTGGATCGAGTATGTTTTGCGACATAATGGAGCACCTCATTTACGCACGTCCGCGTTAAACTTGCGCTGGTTCCAAGTGCTCTGCTTAGATGTCGTCCTGTTCGCAGCGATAACGATGTTTGTAACCATTTTTGCTATCTATAAGGCAATAGTTTTTTTTTTTTTTTTTTTTTTTTTTTTTTTTTTTTTTTTTTTTTTGGTAGGTGGGGAAATGCTCCTTAAGCACACTCCGGAGGGACAATTTCCGGAGTAGTGTGGGGCTCTCCTATCAGGTATACCCACTAAAACCCCACCTTAGGCTCGGCTTCTAAGGCCATTTGCCTTTCAATTACACACAAAACAAACCGTCAACATACTATAAGTATTACAGTTTATCATTAAAACCAATGCTACTAATAAAACGTAGAGTATTTAGGCATTTGTCATTGGTATTAAGATTTTCCGCCCAAGTATCACTTATTTTGTTAAAATCTCGCGCATTCCTATATTCCGGGCAAACGCATAGTATGTGTTCCAAAGATAAATCCACTCCACAGTGGTCACATTGTGGCCGATCATCACCCGCCAACAGAAATCCGTGGGTCAGAGCACTGTGACCGAGTCGAAGTCTGAATAGTCTCGTTAAGGCCAGACGAGCCATGCCTAAAGGAAACAAAGGCCCTATTTCAGCTTTGACCCTTTTCAGAAAGGCATCAGACTCCGCCCACTGTCCATTCCAGCGTTCATACACACGCGCTTTCACAACCCCACGTCGTGCTGCATAGTCATGTCTACAATGTCGGCATATTCCAGTTGTAGATATGCAAACTCCTCTCTAGCTCTTTCTCCTAAGGACCTACATCTATACAGACGGGCGCGCGTGGTTACGTTTCTTAGCAGATGGTAATTCGGATGATTACCATCCATCGACACTTTGAGGTAATAATTTACCACGATCTGCTTTCTTCGAAGAGCTAGAGGAAGAATGTTTGCCTCAACGTATAGTGACTCGACGGGACTGGTCGGAAAGGCTCCAAGGGAGTATCTTATGGCAAGATTCTGTATTCTGTCCAGCTTGCCAAGCAACGTATTACTACTACATGTAGAATACACAGAACATCCGTAGTCGATCCTTGATAGTATGAGACCTTTATATAGGTCTAGCAGCGTCTTGGGATGCGCTCCCCACTTGTGGTGAGCTAAGACTCGGATGACATTCAGGGACTTTCTACATGTAGTAGCAACGTTCTGTATATGCGCGGACCAGCGTAGCTCTCTATCGAACGTTAGACCCAGGAACTTGACCTCTTGGACCACGCTTATTATGCGGTCATTCATAAATAAAACCGGGTCATAATGGGGTTTGCGAAGTCGACAAAAATGTGCAACCTTCGTTTTCTCCTCTGATAACACAAACCCAACAACGTTGGCATTATTACATATTTGATTTATCGCCACTTGTAATTTACGTGTTATAATACCGACGGTCTTATCTGCACAAAAAATCGTCAGGTCGTCGACGTATAAACATTTTCCGATTTCGTCAGCAACACCTCGAGCTATCTCGTTGATGGCAATGCCAAACAGGGAACAGCTAAGTGTGGAGCCCTGCGGCACCCCATTCTCTAAAACGTGCTCGTTTGAATAAGCGTCGCCAACTCGTACGACAAATTTCCTATTTTCCACAAAAGATTGTATAAACTTTGGCAGATTCCCTCGTAGATTATATTTGAACATATTTTGTAGTATACCATACCTCCAAGTCATGTCGTATGCACCCTTGATGTCAAAGAAGACCCCAACCAGGTGCTCGCCACTGTCGAACGTATTCAGAATACGATCGCTCAACTTGACCAGATGGTCAATAGTTGATCGTCCCTTCCGAAAACCGGTTTGATATGGGACGTATATATTGTTACGTTCGAGGAACGTTTGCAACCTCCCGTTTACCATCTTTTCCAACAGTTTGCCTAGACAAGAGGTCAAACTTATTGGACGGTAGTGTTGTGCTAACAGCGGGTCTTTTCCCGGCTTCGGTATAGGGACTACAACTGCCTGTTTCCATTCAGAAGGGTAAGTTGATTCGATCCAGCAGGTATTAAAGAATTTTAAGATGATCTCTTTCATTTCAGCACTACAGTGACGAAGCATCTGGTTATGGATACCATCTCCTCCCGGTGAACATGACTTGGTGTTACGGATTGCTTCATCTAGATCTTCTAGGTTAAAAGGTAGGTTATCATCTAGAGTTTCATCGGTATCAAAGTTTATAGGTGTCAATTCTTTCTCGATTTTAGCCTCTAGAAAAGTACGAGGATAATTGAGTGAACTGCTAACTTTATAGAATTGATCCGCAATAATGTTACTTATTTCCTGCAGGTTGTTGGTAACTACCCCATCTGAGTTACGCAGAAATCTGGGATAAGCGCAACCGATTTTACCGGATATTGCTCCTACCTTCTTCCAGACTTCGCCAGTGGTTGTCTCCGGTGTGATGGTGGAAACGTATCTTTGCCATGAGTTTCTTTGTGCCTCTAATATCCGCCGGCGACACTCGGATCTTCGTTTTTTAAATTCGATTAAATTCTCCATTGTAGGATGGCGACGGAACCTATTTATTGCTCTTTTCTTTAATAAAATTTTTTCTTTTATTTCAGGTGACCACCACGGAACCATCTTCCTTATATTGCCAGGTTTAGATCTTGGAATGCTGGCCTCGGCGGCATTTAAAATAGATGAGGTTAGCGTATGGAGATTTACCTGGCTTGGCGGGACGAGCAGCCGTGTGAAAAGTTCCCAATTTGCTTGTTGCATTTTAAATTTGGCTATCGTTCTCACAGGAGTGTTCCTGCCTTGCAAGGTAATAATTATGGGAAAATGGTCGCTATGAAGCAGATCACTTTCCACTTCCCATTTTACGCTTGCATGTATCGCCGGTGAACATACCGATATATCGATGGAATCGAAAGTACCGGATCTCACATTAAAGAACGTAGCTGAATGAATCATCATTCAACAAGCTTAAATTTTTATCCTCGATCAGATCCAACAACTCCCTGCCACGAGCATCGTCTGAGCGGGAGCCCCAAACGGTGCTGTGAGAGTTAAAATCCCCAACTAGTATAAAAGGTGCCGGAAGCTGATCTACGATTTTACCAATCTCTTGGACATCATAAGTATTATTGGGAACGTAAATATTACACAGTGTAAGAGAACTGCTAATTTCAAGTTGTACCGCTACAGCTTGATAAGGCGTATCTGGTTTAACCCGTTTATAAGGTATGCCTTGTCGGATGAGGAAGGCCACCCCTCCACAGGCTCTTGCTGGTGAGTAAAAATCCTTTCTTATCAGATTATACCCTTTAATGCTGTATTTTGTTCTAGGTACCAGGTGCGTTTCTTGAAGGGCAATACACCAAGGATTATGCTTTTGAATTAGCAGTTTCAGCTCATTTAAATTGTTGGAGAGTCCTCGACAGTTCCATTGGACAATTTTTGTTGTATCCATTAAATGACAATCACAATTGAATAAGCAACATATAAATATAAATAACAATAAAATAACGGTGTATATGAGGACATTCACAATAAATATATGTACACTTTTACATAAATAAATGATAGACAAACAAAACATATATGTATATCACAGGTGTAATCACAGACTAATTACTAAAAATTTGCGGGTTTCCCGCCGTTTTTCGAGGAATGCGGGGCTTGCCCTTCGGCCAACCCTTCTTTTTCTTTTGATGCTTGGCCTCCTGCACCGTCTCCGAATCGACGGAGGTAATGCTGGAGGACCTCGTTCTGGTTACTGACGTCCTACGTTTTGAACCACGCGTTTCCGCGTCCATGGGCTCAACTTCAGACGGCTCTGACAACAGTGCAACTGTCTCGCTTAGTTGCGAGGCTGGTTTCAGTTGAGTTGTTCCAGATATGGTTTGAGAACGTTCAATTTTCGTGGTAAGTACTTTCATAAAGCTTTGCATTTCTTCCTGTATTATTTTCCTGATTTCAGGTACGGTGGACTGATTTGACAGTGGCGTAGCGGTTACCTGCGCGAAAGGTACACTCGGAACAACAAAGGAATCAACCTTCTTTTTCGCCTCAGGATACGACAACTTGTGCAGCACCTTTACTTCCTGTATTTTCATCTCATGCTTGTAAATTTTGCAGGATTTCGCGATTGCCTTATGAGGACCATTACAATTCGGGCACTCGACAGGAATTTCACACTGAGAACCCTCGTGTGGTGCTTTGCCACACACGCACCTCTTCTCCTGCTTGCAATTCGTGGCGGAGTGTCCAAAACGTTGACAATTAAAGCATCTTAAGGGGTTCGGTATGTAGGGACGTACTTGCAATGGATAAAATGCAGCCATTATGGATTTTGGCAGACGCGGAAAATTAAATGTAAGAACATGATTGGGAGTGTCGTGAAACTCTCCGTCACGTTTCGTCCTTATCCGCCTAATGTCAATCACACCCTGGTTTCGTAAATTCTCTATTATCTCCTCAATGGAGCAATTTAACAAATCCCTACAATACACAACCCCTTTTGATGTATTCAAAGCTGTATGCGGTTCTACTTTAACTTCGAAATCTCCTAACCGTGTCGTTTTCATAAAGTGCTTAGACTGTTTACTGGTTCGGGTTTCTACGAGAATATCACCTTTCACTTTTTTAATAGTTTTGACTTCACCCAATAGACCATACAAAGCCTTATTTATTAGGAAGGGACTTACGTTCGTAAAATCACCTTCCTTCCTTTTAAGTACCAGGAACCGGGGCACAGAGTCCTCCGTCTCACTGGTACCAATATTTCGCGGCAATGAAGGAAAATCCTCCACCTCCGCGCCAATCGTAATTGTGCCGCCATAGCCTTTAGAGTGTCCAGTAGAAACATAGCGTGGGTCGTCAAACGTTCCAGCAGCATTTACTTGCGCCGTGATCTGGTTCCCTACCACGGACGCCGAGCAGCCGCTTGATATCGACCGGGTGAGGCCTGCCCGCTCCGCCTCGCTCCCTGCCGGCTCTGGGGACAATCCGAACCCCTGAGCAGTAAGATGTGGGCGCCCCGAAGGGCTCGAGAAATTGTTCATAGCGTGTCGTCAACAATTGCATTTTATCGCTACTGCCAGCGGGCCAAGGCCTTTTTTTGTGATTTCTAATTTTTTTTTTGACACGAAACAAAGGACAAAAGACTAGAACTACCAAAGAAGACAATACAAACCACCTGGGACAGCTTCGCTTCACCACTGCTGGCAACAGTGGCTACTGAGCCCCCCCCCCACCACGACAAGGTGCTTCCCTTGGGGGGGGGGCAATAGTTATTACATGTCGAAGGCGACCAACAAAATCGAAATTGAAGAATAAACCAAAAAAGAACAATTAGTTGAGGAATGAGATAGAGATCAGTTACATAATTGTATTTAGGCGTTTCATAAACATTTGTGTTGTACAACACAATTATAGTGTTTATTTATTACTCAGTTGTAAACGTTGATTAACAAGACGAAACGCAAACGAGTAAACGTCATGTTTAAACGCTACTGACTTGTAAAATAGTGTGTGAGAGGGTGAGGGTGTGTGTGTGTGTGTGTGTGGGCGCGCGCGCGCTCCTTAGTGAAGGTCAATGGAGGGCTATGTATCACATGTACCCAATATGAACTAAGTGTAAATTAAACACGTTAAATTTACGAAATGTACGCAACGTGCTTATCTTAAAATGACCCGAGCTATATAAGAAGATCAGCTCCAATAAAAATCCCCCCTTTCTTATCGAAAATCCGCTGCCTTTAAGCTTGCGTCAGGTTCCGCCAAAATTACATTAATGATCTGAATTTGTTTATGTTGATTTAATAGTTATATTGTTTACTAAAATAGGTTAAATTATCTGGCCAGCAGGAACATTTTTAGTTCAGTTTAGGATTTTGTATTTTTTTGAGTTTCTGTACGAATTTGTTAGGGAGTAAAAAGTTTGTTTAAAAAATTGTAAAAGGAATTTTATTCATCGAACCCCTGATCGAACCACATCACGAACCTGACAACATTATCAAACTTTTGTCCGAACCGTTCGGAGATCTAGGAAAGCTCAGCGCTAGTTCGGGGCGTGGGGAGTAATAATGGTAATGACCGTGGATGAGCAGGTGCGACGTTTCTTTACATGTCCCCCGAATGCAAAAGAAGCAGCCAGATTGAATGCTGCCATGCAAATGGGAGTTTAGGGACAGTAGATTAATAAATGAGCTCTGATCAATTAGCAGCAATTTAATTTACGGCTTCTCTTAGTAAAAATACAGATTTTTCACTTGCCCTGTAAAATGCTATAAACCGCTTAGCTTAGTTTTATAAGCTTACGACATAATCAACTGGTAGTAGATATTGGGTTTTCCTCAAAGTGTAAATAATACATAATATAATTGGATGCCGTTTCGTGCCGCGACCTTCTCTAGAGCAGAACGATTATATATTTCTATTAGTCGATCGGAAAAGTCCCAAGCAACGAATGATTCCTACAAACTCCTATTTATAGAATTGTACGTCAGAGAACGATGACGTCGTCGCTCTCTGAAATTGAATTGAACGCCCTTTTAAGTGCAACGAGGTGAGGCAATTTGCAACCCTCGGGGTCTCACATTTTCTTGTTTGGTCGTAGTGTAATTCGTTTCCGCGCAAGGAAAAGATAATTTTTCCTCGATCGATGGTTCGGTTTTATTAATATCCGTTTTGACTACCGTTCACCGACCGACGACGTGTCGGTTGTAAATTGAAAATCAGTAACGAGGTTTTTAAAAATTTGTTCATATCCCGTTTGATTTCGAGCGAAAGTACCTATTACCTGTGAGAAAAATGAAACTGGGTTTCTAATATTCACCTAAACTAGCAACGCGGGCGTAGTTTGACCGTCGTTTTCTTTTAAAAATTACATACGTATTGCATTTTTCAGTTATTTTCCTTTTCTCAATGTTATATTACGAAAAACATTACAATTACTATTTAGAAACCAGTTTACAATTTTTGGTTTGTGGGACACAAACTTTTGTTTATCGCACAATGACGTCACTCAACTTTTATCTAGCCGTTACTATTAGCAACCCGAAAAATTTCTTTATTTATCAAAATGCCGTTTTTATTTGACAAGCGGTTCTCCGACTCTAAAATGTTCTTTCACGGAAATTTGATCACTCATAAAAATGCTAAATGCTAAAAATGTTTTATCTTTCTCCCTTTTGCACAAAGTTAATTCGTCGGTTACTTGTACTTTACCACACACTCGATTTCATTTAAATGTTTCCCAACGACGTAATAAAAGTTGTTAAAAAACGCGCCACGATATTAATAAAACAACAAACTTGACGAACCAAGTGGTACGTGCTCACTCTTGTAAAAAAATGTCTCCGCCAGGTATTCGCAAATTATGCGAAATAAAAGTTCTTACACATAAGTCCTACGTGCTAACTCTTTGAAACTCTAGCCTCATCGGTCGAAAACCCCTCTTAAAATCTAGTCTCACTAGCGTTTTACCCGAAAATGCACACTGTTATCGAAAATGTACTCTTATTTCCAGACATACTTTTGTTCACGTTCGCTATGAAGCGGTATATTACAATGATAAAAAATGTTACAATTGTCATGCACCGTTTAAATGTTTCGGTCACGGAAAAAAGCGCATATATTCTTTCATGGACCACATTGTGATTCCGTATGCAATTCTTCGGATCTTTTCTACATTCAACTATTGGACAGTAATTGTGGCTTGAGGACAAATGTTTTCCCAAAGTGCAATATTCATCCGATTAGATATCAGAAATACTACAAACTAATCGACAACACAGTACCAGTATACTGCAGGACCGATGGTAAGTAATATTTTCATGTACACAAATTTTAGTTTGTTTGACGAGCAGAGTATTCTTCAATCGTATCCGGAATAGTTTTTGGCGTCTTGAATGGGAGATGAAATGCGTATGATAGGTTATTTTTTCGTTTCCTTTTCCTTACGAGTACTTGCGTGGCTGGCATGTTGAAGTTGGGCGGTGTTCATTGCTAATAATTCAATGTGTTATTATATTGTGGCGATTAACCGGATGTTGTGTGAATTCGCGAATTAGTTTGGGCAGGGGCGTCGTTAGGTTATTGACATGCAATTTCTTTACAGGGCTTTAGTTTCACTTGTATTTTCAAGTTTTAATTTCAAGTTCACATTCAATTTAAATTTCGATTGCATCGATGTTTTGATTTTAAATAAAGTGAACTTGCGGTACGCTTTCTGAATCATCGAGAAATTATTTATAATCTTTCATTAATATTCTCACTACGAACACATCAATTCAGATCTTTGACCTGGCGAGGATGCTGCTGAGAGGACACAGTCAGTATTGGGAAACTACGTCGTTGCTTTCCCACTTAGGATTAATGCTAATTTGTTGAAAAAATGTGCAATTTCGAATGGTTCACTATTATCTGCGGATTGTTGGATCTAAAAGGTAAAAAACAAAATTTCAGTGGGCGCTTAAAAAAATAAAAATCTTCATGCAAAGGTTCGAACCCGAGCCATCCCGTTGCAAGCCGAGTATACCACTAGACTATTTATTATGGCACACATTCAATCGTGATTATTAGACTGAGTTCGCCATCCGAAAAAA